TGCCGAAGAGTGCCTACAACCATTTTTGTCCTGTCTTGCAAACAGAGCTTTAGTTGTAACCTATACACAGTTTCATGGAGCACTCCGCCTCACGGCTGTCACTCAACAAAGCTTCGCTTTCATTCACTCTGAACAGGAACAAATCCCCCGAGAGCGACCTCTAAAGCTCCACTCATTCACACATCTCTACGCACCCGCCGCTTACTTTTTTTAACATTCGCACACAATGACGCTTCTTCATCGCTACGCACAGATCACACATCGCTCCTGCAACGCAATAAGCGCAAATAGAGCGTATTTAAGTTGTTAACTATTCTTTAAACTGCTTCGGTGGATAATGCGCCGGTCGGTCACATTGTTGCCTACCTGTACCATATGTCGGTGCCACACAGCAATGAGCCACTATTCTATGGTCTTTTTCTGACAGCTGCGTTGTGCCATCCTTTACCTGAGTTGGACGCCCTGAATGGATAATCATGATATTTTCAGAGGGATTTACTCACTTTGTTTGGTGTTGGACGTTCACATAGGTCTACTCCCTGGTGGGCGACGCCCGAACACAGGCCATCTCACGCGTATTCTGTCGCATCTCTGCCGGTCCCAGCGATAGGCACTGTGCACGCACCTTCATAGCGTCTGACCTCAACAGCACACTATCTGCGGCGCAGAGCGTACGGCGGGAGAGCGCGACGGTGAGACAAGAACATAGCACATGCAGAGCCACTCAGGTCTGAGTTGCGCGATACAAATTCCATCGAGGGCGCTCTCCTATCCCTACTCCTCTTGTAAAAAGCGCACCTCTCATACGAAGTCTCCATTGGCTATTAGATCATACACTTGAACATCGCATCACGCCCTGCTCTATCTCACACGTCACGTTGTTCCTTGTGGCCAGTGCTGGGTGTACTGGGTCTAATAAACAGATTGTGTTGTGTTAGTCTTCACATGCCACCAACGTCACTGGTCCCGAGCTCTTGTGCTGTTGGTCTTCGCCCAGCTGCTGAGCTTGCTCCGTCGGATGTTTGTTTCGCTTTGAAACGATGCTGACGAGCTCCTGCAGTCTTCTCCACACAGCAGCCAAGTCTGACATCCCGGTCCCTCCGCACGACCATCAGCACCAGCAGCCTGGAGTGACCCGCACTTCCTTCCTGGCAAACAATACACAACAAGGACCGGCCCCCGCCGTGGCTCTGCATTATAACCCCCATCTCCCTGGAACAAAAACTTATCGGACTGCAACAAACAATTTCCCTCACACTCCACAGAAAAGGACACACTCTCCCCGTGCTGATATGGGGAGAGGAGCAATTCCTGCTAACCACCCACACACACAAGACACACACACACCACACACCACACACACACACCACAACAGATCCCTGACTACGAAAAAAGGGCCATAACAAGCGGTTCGTGTTCTTACTCAGCATGCCTCAATCAACCTGCTATCCACCACTGATAGACTCCATGTATTTCGTACATCATTTCTAACATGTTTGAGCACACTAAACTCAGCCATGCTATGAAAGGCCGGCCTCCCGCTGACGCGCAAGATGACCACTCACAGGCAGCCTCAACCGCTTCCCTCGATCGGCACATCGTGCCCGTACTAGCGCTGACACGTGACAAGTAGTTCACCCTTCGCGTCAGCGACTGGGAACCCCTCAGAGTTCCTATTATCCTTGTGCTCATCTAACCCACTAATCCTACGTGTTGTAGTCCGCCGGCCCCCCTGCTATGCTGACCCACCATAACCCCTATCTGCCTACACCCTTCTAAAATACGAACTGCCGGAGCTTTGTGGATGGGTTCGTGTTGTCTTGTCCATAACGCTAACAACCTGAAGTTTGGCCTGCACGCTTTCCCTGCGTATGTACAGGTGTGACTGCTCGGAAAAATGTCTATGACATGCATTGTAAAACAGGGAGGCTGATACACCGTAAATAGTTTAACATCCTCGTCCAAACAGTGTAGACGATTCTTTCAGTCGCTTGAAGCAGTGGGTCTTCTAGGGGGCGCGATATGATAGTGTGCGTGGCGTGGGCTTCAATAACCACAGAGGTGTTTTTTATTGCCTCTCTCCATTCTTGTCTAGATTAGAACAACAACAGAATAACCAACAGCCGACGTGTTGTTTTAAAAGATCTCTTTGTCTTTCTCTTTCTGGTGAACAAGTTAGACCTGATGCGGTGAATCCTGCCGCAAAGCACAGTTGGGGCTGAAGTTGAAGAGTCCAGGCTATTGGGCGGCATGAAGTGAGCGAGAGAGGAACCTACTCCTCATCTGCACCCTGGCTGATAGAGTGTGGGTCTTCTAGTCTGAGGGAGGTTGAGTCATCTGCAACGATACTGTGCCAAAAGCATTGAAATCACACCTGCAGACCTGCGGGAGCGCAGCTCAGACTGCAGTGCTTATTTACTTGGACAGATGCCACATATGAAGGACGCTCTTTCATCCACCTGTCCGCATTATTCTACCAGATGAAATTGGGTTGAAAGTTGCTCAATTTATTTTCTTTTGTGCACAACTATCGCAAAAGCCAGACAATGACCCTGATCTCCTCACCCAACAATGGATATTCTCGGTGCAGGCTAAAGTGTCTAGCTCATTAGCTCCTGCCATATGGAGACCTTTCATTGTATTAGTCACACGATACCAGATAGCCATAGTGGTGGGATGATGCAAAGGGTCTACAATAAGAATGCCTATTTTAGACGCTGAGATGATAGGATACGCATATATCAGCAGATCAGGAAAAGAATCAGAAGATAAGGAAGAGACGCTACTGTTACAAGAGACTTTTCTGTTTTTAGAATAAGGATGAACAAGGCTTGCTCATAGTATTTAATATTTATACACTATAGGCGGAGTTTGTTAGTACTGGAATTTTTAGGTTAGATTTTCTCACTCTTCCATGTATGAGACTGGTTTCACGTTTCTGTTGTCCATTCGTGGCGAACAACGCTAGAACTCTGGCCTAAGGTTTCTTACTGTGGCTGAAATTATTATCACGTGAGGATAGAGCGTCTACACGCAATTGGCTTCGCAGCACAGGCTATTCACACCACCTCTGCGCTCAGTTTCCAATCTTTACACTGATGTATCTCAAAAAGAGGATCGTTTTCAACTATCCGGACTCTCACTTTACTCAGTATCCCAGGGCGACAGTCTTGCCTTTCTGTGTCGGCTCCTCTGAGACTCACTTCTATAGAGGATCATGAATTACCGTGTGTGTCACATGGAGTGTCAAGGAACAAGTTGCACAGAGCAATGATCCTGCTATAACAGAGAAACGGCCTTAAGAAGATACAGTCACGGAACATTAGAGGCTTGGGGAGCGTGTAAAAGAAAGACGAATTGAAGGCCTAGTTCACCACGAACGAGCCGAGAGAGACAGATGAGGCGGGTATGGACGCAAGAGTTAGGTAAGAAGAAGGGTTCATGTTATCTGATATCTGTCTTAGAGGCAACTCTATTGTATGTGTTCCACAGGCTCTAGAAGTAAGTACTGACACGATCGTAGAGGCGAGGACTGAGAATATGCGCGTGCGAGAAGTAAAGAAAAACATTGCTGTAAGAGGTAATTTACTGGGGCATGTTTAGTACGCGAGGATGTCTAGTAGGGATGAGTGTGAGGCCAGTTGAGCACCTATGGCGCGGATAACTTACACACATGGTGAGGAACTGAATTGCCCTAGAATCGAAGACTGAATTTTAAAGTGAGACAACAGGAGGGGCTTTTGTAGGCTATATAGATTGATATAA